GTGTGTGATTGTTGTGGAGGGTGTTTAGTATTGGGTGGTCGGGGGGGTGGGGGGGGGGGGGGGGGAGGGGGTGGCGGGGGGGGAGGGAGTCACAGCTCAGTTAACACGCGACACTGTAGCGGCCTGCTGCTGCTACACTGCTGCTGCTATACTGCTGCTACTGAGCCACGACCAGCAGTCCCGTGTTGGCTGCGGATTAGTGTGGAGTGGTGAGATAGAGAGAGAGAGAGAGAGAGGACTGCCGGGGAGCTGTATTTTGTTAATCATGGATAGGTAGGTCCGGCGCTGTGTGTTCGGGTGTTGTAGGTAGCCGGCCGTTAGTTGTGTTTTGTTTGTTATTGACAAGGTATGTGCACAGGTGTGGTCGGATATCATAGGTAGCCGGTCGTTAGCTGTATTTTGTTAGTTACGGACAGGTATGTGCAAGATTACACAGGTGGTTATGCGCAGGTGTGGTTGGATATCGCAGGTAGCTGGTCATTCGCTGTTTTTTTGTTAGTCATGGACAGGTATAATGCACACGTAGGTGCACAGGTATGTCCTCACAGGTGTGCTCGGATCTCGCAGGTAGCAAGTCGTTAGCCGTGCTTCGTTAGTTATGGACAGGTAAGTCTTGCACTGTGTGGTCAGATAGAATAGGTAGCCGATCAATAACTCGGTATCACGATCGGGTACGAGCGCCCACACATCACCTTTGTGCGCAGAGACGTTCCCTTGTTTTTTTTCCCTGCGGCGATGCCCTCTGGTGTTCAATCTTTGGGACCTCACGTGAACGGGAGACCTGGGTTGGTGTCACCACCCGAACTCTTGAATTTCGCCTCAAAACCTTGGACTCGGTCGTTGCTCGGTTTGCCGATAACACGCGCATGCTCTTGTGTTTTCTCGCGGCGCAGGAAACGAGAACATCCGCGAGATGATGGGCACGCCAGAGTTTGTCGCGCCGGAGGTCATCAACTTTGAGCCGCTCTGCTTGAACTCTGACCTCTGGAGTGTTGGCGTTATCACCTACATCCTTCTCAGTGGATGCTCACCGTTCCTAGGAGACAACCGTCAGGTAATGCATCCGTTGCTAGGTAACGCGCTCTACTCGGCGACGGTCGCCTTGGCAACGTGTCGCTCGGCAACTGTTGCTAGGTAACACGTTCTACTTGGCGACGGTTGCCGGGCAACGTGTCACTCGGCAACTGTTGCTAGGAAATGAATACTATTCGGCGATGGTTGCCAGGCAATGTGTCAGTCGGCAACTATTGCCAGATAACGATTACTACTTGGCGATGGTTACCAGATAGGCAATACATACTACTCTGCAATGTCATCAGATGCTATTCCGCGATGCCTGCCAAGTATCGGTGATGCCAAATATTGTATTCTACTCGGTGTACATTCTTAGTTAGTGCATACTACACTGCGATGGTTGCCAGGTAACGTATGCTGTATAGGCTGTCGCTAGGTAACATGACTCTTGGCAACTGTCGCCAAGTAATATATGGGTTATATGCGCTATCAGCCTATGGCCATTAAAACTACCAGCTACGCCCGAGTTTCTAATGCAAGTCGAAGCTATTGCTGCAGGGATGGGTGGAATACTGCATGGGAATTACAGCGTAAATGCCTTGGTAGGTACGTGCGAAGACGATGTTTATGGGATTGCACCTAAAAAACCGGGCAGTGGCATTACTAGCGGAGCTGCGTTGTCACATAGCAGCCTATACTATTACCATTCCTAGGTAGCCAACTTGTCACGAGTCTGTCCAAAGCCAACTGCATTCAAGAGTTAACGTTCTCCCTTCGATATTTATATCATATATCTATCATTCATCTATTATGCCTTATATCGCTAACACCTGTCCCTTTCTTGAAGTTTTTTCCCCTTCACCTATCCACTTCTATACTGTTATCCCCACTAACAGATATCTCTCCATTTCTCCTGACTACAGGAGACGTTCAGTAACATCTGTGGTGTGCAGTACAACCTCGAGGACTCGTTCTTCGACGGCACGAGCGACCTCGCCAAGGACTTCATCCGCTCCCTCCTCGTGTGCAACGTCAGGAAGCGCGCGAGCATCGCCGGCGCCCTCTCTCACGCGTGGATCGCGCCGCGCGACCGCGCCGCTCACGACCAGGTCGCCGCCTGCGAGATCAACATCGAACATTTCCGCGGAGAGAACGCACGCCAGCGCTGGGCGCACTCGATGCGAGTCGTCAGCCTCTGCAACCGCATGTCTCAGGGCCTGCGATCGCGCGAAGCCAGCTCGGCGAGTCTTACCGAGATGAGTCGCCGCGGCAACGCCAGCGCGGCGAGTCTCAGCGAGATGAGTCGCCGCGGCAACGCCAGCGCGGCGAGTCTCAGCGAGATGAGTCGCCGCGGCAACGCCAGCGCGGCGAGTCTCAATGAGATGAGTCGCCGCGGCAACGCCAGCGCAGCGAGCCTCACCGAGATGAGTCGCCGTGGCAACGCGGACGAGTACGCCAACAAGGGCAACAATGGCAACACATGTTGCAATGGCAACACCGGCAACAACGGCAACACCGGCAACACCGGCAACAATGGCAACGCCCCCGCGGTGCCGGCAGACGACTTCGTAATGGCGGCGCTGTTCTGCGCGACGGAGGAGGGAAACGCGGACGACATCGCGCGTCTGCTCGACCTGACCTCCCGCGGCGACCTCTCCCGCGGCAACAAGCACGGCGAAACCCTCCAGCACGTCGCCGCGGGAGCCGGTCACATCTCCGTCGTTCGCCTGCTCTCCGAGCGCGGAGCAGCCGTCGCCGCGCTCGACGAGCGCGGAGACAGCGCCCTCTACTGGGCGGCGCGGCAGGGTCAGCGGGAGGCGGTGCAGATGCTGCGCGAGGAGGCGGGGTTGAGTCTGGACGCGCAGAATCGTGTCGGGGAGACGGCGTTGCACGTCGCGGCGCGGTACGGACACGCGGGGGTCGTCGAGTACCTGTGCGAGCGGGAGGCTGATCTCGATCTGCCGGACGATGCCGGGGAGATGGCGCTTCATATAGCCGTGTGGCATGGCTTTATGTGTATCGTGCAGGTAGGTGTGGTGTGTTGTTTGTTTGTTTGTT